CACTACCCAGTATTTTACAGTATAAACAATATACAATGTATTTGTATTTTTCTTCTAAAAACATCTAAAAATGTTTTGAAAAACATATTTTCAAAACATTTTCTTCTAAAACATGGCTAAACAGATCACGGGTAACATATTCATAACGTAAATTAAACAACAATGTTTGAGTGTGTTTCTGGCATAATATCCCGTTTTGATGAAAACAAATAAAAAAAATCTTTTAATCTGTATTGAACATATTTTTCATTAAGATTTTCTGAATTATTTTTATTGGTGTTATGTAATATTCTCATTTTAAATATAGCATTTTCATAGAAAAGCCAAGAAAGCCTTGAAAACATCTGTTTGAGTGTAATCAGTCTATATAATGTGTTTCATTTAGTGGATTAAGTTACTGATATGAATGAACGTTGCAACAATATTTCAACTGATTCAACATAACAGTATGTTGAAAGACGGGATTCGTTGGGAGTGATGAGAATTCAAAGCGGAACTAAAAGTCGTTTAGAGTTTCTTCAGTGTTGCCACAATGAAACACAAAGGAAACAAAAACAGAACCAAGAGCTTTGCCTTTGTTGGAAGCCAGTTTGAAGACGGGTTTGACGTTTTAGGTGAATGATCGAGTCTTTAGTAAAAAAATAGAAAATGTCTTCAGCTCCGCCTCAGAGAGAGATAATCAACAAGGAGTTAACTCCGGCTGAAGAAACATTAAAGGAGTTTAATATCATCGTCAAGTCCGAAGAGGAGATGGATGATCTTACCCAGACACCCCGAATCATTTCACACCGAACAGGTCTGAAACACCGTCACGTTTTACTGATGAGACAGATTAAACATTTGGAGACAGGGTTAAGGAACGTTGTGAACTAGTCATCACTGTTACGGCTGTATAAAGAAAACCCTTTTTAAAATAAATAGCACCGCTTAGCCTGGCTGCTAACGTAACACACATGCTATAAAAAAATTACATATAACATGGTAGTTATGTCTGAAAAGGGATATGAAGGAGTAAAACTTGTTTATTTAGGTCCCTTCTTCTTCCTGTGGTCCCTGTTAATTTATAATCTTCCTTCTTCCTGCTTTACTTACTTGTTTAAACACCGACTTTTGTAAACTCCTAAGTCAATATACATAGAAACATACATATACACACGACTCTTACAACAGGCGTATCCTGAAAATGGTGGGTTTGAATTCAGCTTCCACCTGCCACATGTCAATATACTACTTTACAAGACACTGATCGGGGCATTGGTGTATGAATGCTACAGTCGAGCAGTTGATAAGATCAATTGTAATTAAAACATGCATTTTTACTGAACTCTTCATCACATTTTATTAATATATGATAGCACATGTATTTCCCTTCCTGTCAGAAGAAACATATTAGTTAAATTCATTTTCTTATAAGTTTGAAATTTTAAAGTAAGCAAGTAAAGGATGTTTAGATGCACCAAGAGATAAAAGTGAGGGATGTGTTTGTTTTTTTTACTCACATTTATAAGATTGTGTTTTGTCTTTTTGTCCAGATCTTCCAGAATGCTGTAAGTGTAAAGAGGAGGGGATTCTCGACGAGATCAGCAACCAGGATGGAAACCCTATTTTAGACCAAGAGGAGCCAGAACCTCCACAGATAAAACGGGAACAAGAGGAACCACAACATCACCTGTTCAAAGAGGAAGAGAATCAACTAAGAATCTGTCAGGATGAAGAGCAGCTTGTTCTGAAACAGGAAACCGAGGTGACTCCTTCTGACGTGCAAATGATTAACTATGAGACGGAACCAAACAGGAACCAACTTGTCTCTTCTGCCTCTCCTGAAGTTGAGAACCAGAATCAGGAGGGAAGAAATACTGAAAACCCAGGAAAAAAGAGAGAAGAGCAGAAACGACATGAGAGATATCAGAAAACCAGACAGCAGAAAGGTTCTGCTGACAACTCAAGACAAAAAACAAACAAAACTCAAATAGACCAAACTTTAATTTCTTGTGACATCTGTGATAAAACCTTTTCTTCAAAGAGTTGCTTGGCTAGACATATGAGAACTCACACGGGCGAGAAGCCTTTTACATGTACGATCTGTGGAAAAAGTTACTGTGACAAAGGTGGTTTAATTTATCACATGAGAGGTCACACAGGGGAAAACCCATTCACATGTGTCATTTGTGGAAAAAGTTTCCGTCTGAGCAACATTTTAAGTATTCACATGAGAACTCACTCAGGTGAGAAGCCTTATTCATGTACAACCTGTGGAAAAACGTTTTCTAAAAATAGTAGTTTAAATCGTCACAGTAGGAGTCATGCAGGTGAGAAACCTTTTTCATGCATTGTTTGTAGAAGAAGTTTCAGTCAAAAATCTATTTTAACCATTCACATGAGAACTCACACTGGTGAGAAGCCTTTCTCATGTACAACCTGTGGAAAAAGTTTCACTCAGAAAGGTCATTTATCTGATCACATCAAAACTCACACAGATGAGAAGCCTTTCACATGTTCTACTTGCGGAAAAGGTTTCAGTCAAAAAATCCATTTAAAGAGTCACACAAGGACTCACACAGCTGAGAAACCTTTCTCATGTACCACCTGTGGAAAGAGTTATAGTGAGAAGAGTGGTTTAACTTATCACATGAAAACTCACTTGGGTGAGAGACGCTTTTCCTGTGTGACCTGTGAAAAAAGTTTCAGAAAAAAATCTCACTTAACACGTCACATGAGAATTCACACTGCCGAAAAGCCTTTCTCATGTATGACCTGTGGAAAAAGTTTCACTCAAAAATGTCATTTAACTTTTCACATGAGGACTCATACAGGAGAAAAGCCTTTCTCTTGTATGACCTGTGGAAAAAGTTTCACTCAAAAATGTCATTTAACTTTTCACATGAGGACTCATACAGGAGAAAAGCCTTTCTCTTGTATGACCTGCGGTAAAAGTTATAGTGAAAAAAGTAGTCTAAATTATCACATGTCAAGTCACACAGGAGAAAAGCCATTCTCATGTGTTACCTGTGGAAAAGCTTATGTTCAGAAATCTCATTTTATATGTCACATGAGGAGTCACACCGGGGAGAAGCCTTTTGCATGTACGACTTGTGAAAAAAGGTTTGCCAGTAGAAGCAGTTTAAGTGTTCATATTAGAAGTCACACAGGTGTGAAGCCTTTCTCATGTGTGACCTGTGGGAAAAGTTTCACCTTAAAAAGTATTTTAACTCATCACATAAGAATTCACACAGGCGAGAAGCCTTTCTCCTGAATGTTCTGTGAAAAAACATTTAGACAAAAATCTCTTTTGATACCGCACCTGAAAACTCATAAAGATGAGTCAGCATAATCTGAACCTCAAGAATGAAGGTGCATTTACATTGCATCTTAATTACAGTTCCTTTTTCTACAGAGGTTTGACTGCTAAGTTTATTTTGTTAAAATTTTGCATGGTTTATTATTGCTGAACATATATAAAGTAATTTTTGTCAGCCAACACTTTCAATCCTTAAGGCCACAGGAAAGCCCATAAAATATGATTTGCAATTTCTACTTGCTTTTTATTTTCTACAAATTAAATAGAACTAGGGTGCAGCAGTCTGTCACTATTTCACTGTCCACTCCCTGGATGTTCACCTGTGTCAGTGCAATGTCAACTCTCTTCTTTAATTGTGTAAGATATTAAAAAATGTATATCAGTTACATTACAATAGTGACTATATATAATAGTCAATTTAACATGTTCTTCTACCTTCTATTATTATGTTCATTCAACCCGTGAGTAAAAATTAAAGTTGAATTATATCTTCTTCATTCATTTAACATTTATCTGTATTTGCAACTGTACGTTTAGTCTTGATTCAAAGCTGTAATGAATAAAAGATTTTTCGCCATGTATTGTGCAATACATCAGGTAAAAGGCTGCTAGAACTTCAGTACAAAATTAGACACAGGTTTCATATTGGGTTGTCGTCATTCATACCTAGAACTGCAGAATATTTTAACTCAGTAGGATTCTCTGAATATTCTACTTTATGCATTTAACGTTTTATACAATTTTAATAATTTTATTTATGAATGCACTTAGCATATTTCTGGTAAGGAATACGCAGCGTTTCCTTGTGCAAATCAATCTGATTTAAACTAATTAAGCTTCTATTTTCAAATTCCTTATTGAATAAACCTGGTTTCTCCACCTCAGGACATGCTCTTTAATAATTATCTATTCAGGAAGCAGAAACTTGTTTTCTAAACTGAAAAATTGTCTTTGTAACTTGCTAAAAGTGTGATCGCATGAGTGTGTTTAAAATTTAAAAAAATTATTTCATAGTTACTGTAAACAGAAGTTTAATAAAGCACATGTCAGCTTTAAGGCAACACAAGAAATATAGGAAATAACTGGAAGTTTATATGAATGGTAGATTTATAATTTATTGTAATTTACAATGACATTAAAACATTACACAAATGAATATGTTTAGTTTTGCTGTCAGGTCATGAATCTGGAAATAATGTTACTCTAAAAGTTTCAGTTACAAGACATGAAATCAGAGCTTTACTGTTCAGATACATTTAATTAGCTCTGAATCTCATTGGTGTCACATTCAATTAAATTATGTCCCAGTTACCAGTCTGAAATACAAAATTAATAAAAGATGAAAAAAAATATTTGATTAAGATACTGTTATTAGTGAAATCCAGTAAAGATTTATCTGCATTTGTACCAACAACAACAGATGTCAACTGTTTAATTACATAAATATAGGTAGAAAAACAAGTTTATCTCAAAGTAAAACAGGTAGAGGTTATTTTAATTAACCAACTAAATTCAACAAACGTTAAAAACGTGGAGAGTGAAGATGTTGAGTTCATAAATAACTTGTAGACAACATTTCAGAAACATTAAAAACGTTACAACAGCTTTTCAAATAGTTTTCCATCTTATGCAATAGAAACAAAAGTATAAATGTCATACATTATATTGTCTCTGAAAATGACTGGTAGGTTTTTGAATCAATAAAAGACATAAAAAATCCACCCATGGACAGCAGAGAGGAGAGCAATAGAAAACATATTTGGACTTTTGAATAATTAAAACATAGCAGTTCAGGACAGTCTCCAGTATTTTTAGAAAATCGTGATGCAACTCAGGTGTTTTCCATCCAGATGTCCATGGTGTGTATTAGAAAATCTAGCCAGGATGTTAATTATCCCAGAAGTTCTAACCGACCTTTAACCTGTAGGTTTACCAGCAGCCATAGTCCTGCGAGTTTCAGTGCTGCCATCTTGTGGATTAAATTGGGATATATTTTATGCAATATATTGAGTATTTATGTCTGTTTAATGTAGCATTTTTCTGTAAACAAACTTAACAGATAATCTAAAGTACTCTGTCTGACCGATTTCAAAATATACACACTGTCAAAAATGCACATAAAGTGTTTATTCAGTTTACATCGCAACAGCAGCAACGATTAAAATTAGACACTTAAGATTTGATGAGTTTTGAGCACAAACAATTCAAAAATTTAAAATTTTTTCAGCTTTAACCAATAACTTATTTCACTTTTTGAAAAAACATAAAATCTCCTTTTAAATTTTTTTTTCATTGTCAGAAGAAAAAAAAAAGTTTTCAACATGTATAAAAAAATAAAATGATGCCTGGTTTTTACTTGTTTCTAGACATGATTGTTTGTTTTATTAGTAATAATGATAAAAACATGGAAATCCATGGAAGCAGCTTCAATGAAAAAAACAAAAATTTGAATTATAAAGTTCCCACGGCAGCCAACATATTTTGGTTCTTTAATTTACATGTTTCTGTCTGATGCGGAGCAGGTGGAGCAGGAACGCCATCTTAATGGGGACTTGTTATGCTTCCTTGAATGAGTTAGGATCGGCCTGTGGGCTACACAAAATACCTTTATAACGTTTTTTTTTTTTTAACACAAAATAATTCTCAGATACAGATTTAGTCAGTTCTAGTTTGAGCTCCTTTCAGAATAAGCTGTTTTAGCGCCACTTGTCTTTTCCAGTAGCCATTGTACGGCTCATACAGCAGTAAAACCAGCTGACCAAACGTGTTTGATCTCTGCTAGGTAACAGAGCAATGTTTGTTGATTTGTAACATTATATTCCGAAAGGATTTTGAAACAGTTTGCACCAAAACACCAAAAAATATTAACTTATTGTTCTTTTTTTTTTTAAACACCTGGAATGTTTCTAGAAGCAGTAGAGACCCAAATGGACATACAAAAATATACAATAACTTTTTGAAGAACCTTGAATTAATGAATTGCAGCAACGTCTAATTTCTCTTTGGGATCAGTAAAGTATCTTTTGAATTTGAATTGAAAAAGAGAAAAAGCTGGAGTTTAGTAAACGGTCAACAATTAATTTTATGAGAATGAGAACAGAAAAATCGCTGCAATGACTTTAAATTGTAGTAACATTTGTATGTAAATCCTTTGTGCTTAATGTGTTTAATTATGAACAAACTGATGATTTGGCAATAATTTTGCCTTTGGAACAAATGACAGCAAGTGTCTTGATCTGATTTTTGTCTTTTTAATTTGGCCTTTTCTAACTTTAGCTTGTTTAGTTATTAGCTAAATATCCCCAATATATAAAACACTGTAGTAAAACTCACATTTCACATTCTTATTTGCAAAATTTAAAGTGAACACGACAAAGGGTATTTATGGTATCATCATTTATCGTAATACATTTTTCATAAGAATTTTTTATTTATCGTTGCCACTATAAACTCCAATTAGTGCCATTTAAAACAATCATTATTACAAGGATTGATAGTTTTACTATTTTCTCCTCTGCTTGTTCAATAAAAGAATCAATAAATACCAATAAATTTGAAAATTCATAAATTTCAAGAAGTGATATAAAATACACTTCTTTACAAAACTAGTATTTTTCCTAAAGAAGCTCATTACAAACAGGAATGTTTTTAAACAGCAGTCATAAAGTTACCTAAAAAACATGTAAAAAATAGTTACTATTGTCACTTTTATTGTTATCACAACGTCACCACAAAATTTCATAATAAAACTTTTAATCCAGCCCTAGTGAACCATCACCATCTTCCACGTTATATTACATTAAAATATAAGCTGTCATGTTAATGGTTGCTAACATCTTTATCTCTACACTGTAAACAGCAGAAACGCTCCTAGCCGATGTGAGTCTTCATGTGTTTGGTCAAACTGCTCTTTAGGCTGTAGGTTTTAGTACAAGCATTACATGTGAACGGTTTCTCCCCTGTGTGAGACCTCATGTGTCTGTTCAGACGACTCTTTAACGTGAACGTTCTTTCGCAGCTGTTGCATGAGAAAGGCTTGTCGCCCGTGTGGGTTCTCATGTGGTTATTCAAGCTGCTCCTCAGGCTGAAGGCTTTCTGACACATACCACAAAGGAAAGGTTTCTCCCCCGTGTGAGTTCTCATGTGATCCGTTAAACAACTTTTCTGAGCGAACCCTTTTCCGCAGACCATGCAGGCGAAAGGCCTCTCACCTGTGTGGACTCTCAGGTGTTTATTCAAATGGTTTTTAGAGTTGAAACTTTTGTCACAAGCCAAACACTGAAAAGGCTTCTCACCAGTGTGAGTCCTCATGTGTTCAGTTAAATTGCACTTCAGACTGAACCTTTTCCCACAGGTGATGCACGAGAATGGCCTCTCGCCAGTGTGAATTCTCAAATGCTTATTCAAATGGTTTTTGGAGGGGAAACTTTTCTCACAGGCCAGACATGGGAAGGGTTTCTCACCGGTGTGAGTTCTGATGTGCTCGGTTAAAATACATTTTAGACTGAAGCTTTTTCCACAGGTCACGCACGGAAAAGGCTTCTCACCTGTGTGAGTTCTCAAGTGAAGGGTTAAATTCGATTTTGTAGTAAAACCTTTGCCACACGTCTCGCATGAGAAAGGCCTCTCCCCTGTGTGACTTCTCATGTGTATCGTCAGATTATTATTCTGGGAAAAGCTTTTGTCACACATTTTACAAGAATATTGTTTCTTTTCTTTGTGAGCACTGTGCCCTTCTTGATTTGAGCTCTCAGAATACTGATTATATTGTCTGGTTTCCTGACCCTGCTCATTTAGCATTTGCTCTTCATCACTCTTTGACCCCCAGTCTTCTGAAGCGCTTCCTTCCTGGTCCTGGCTGTTACTTTCAGGGGAGTCCTGAGAGTCGAGCGGGTACCAGTTTGGTTCTGGTTCAGTGTGAAAGCTTTCCTCATCAGCAGGCGTCACCATGAAGGTGTCAGACTCCTCCTTCAGCTCAAGCTGCTCTTCATCTTGACTGATGAGGAGCTCCATGTCTTCCTCTTTTATCAGCAGATGTCCAAACTCAACCTGCTCCTCTTTCATCTGCAGAGGTTCTGGATCCTCTTCATCAAAACCGGAGCTCCTCTCCTGGTTGGTGAGCGCCTCCTCTTCCCAAACGTCATCCTGGTGGACGTCTGGAGGGTCGAACAGAAAAAGGCCTGGGTCAGTTCCTGGTCTTAAACTCCCTTTAATGAAATTCCAGCTCTAAAGTCAGATGGTGAGTTTGCAGCAGAGTGAGTCTATTTAATATCCCTGTTTTCTTGAGCTGGAAACTAAAGGATGAAATCTTTTACTGCTGTTAGCTTAATGCTCTTTAGAAAGTGAAGTTTATAAAGCAGGAGTCTACAACTTCAGTCCTGCAGCACACCTGAATCAAAAGACTGAATTAGTTAACATTGCAAGAAGCTTTGGTCATTAACTCTTCATTTGATTCAGGTCCATTGGGAAAGGGAGGCACCCAAATATTTGAGGACACAAGAGGCTGGAATTACAGACTCCAGAGGTAAAGTTTTAGAGCACTATGCTCAGGTAATTAGCTGACCAATATTAGCTTTCAGAATTACTCATCGAGGAGCAGACAGCAATCGGCACAAAATTCAGACTGACTCAAATTTTAATTGATCACTTCTAAGTTCATCCAGATTATATGTCAATTCTTATTGTCGTATGATATAGGTTAAGAAATTTATATTTAGAGTATTGCATTTTCACACCATACTTCTGAGTTAACTGCCAATAATGCACCAGTTTTCAGAATATGAAGCATCTTGAATACTTTTAAATCTTTCTCCTACAATGTCCGTTTTTTCCATGTAGGAATTTTATGTTTACATCTTGTTTGAGATATATATAGTTTCATATTTTTGTCTTTATGTGCAAAATACCAGAACAAAACAGGTCAAACATGTTCTTTCCATCCTTGCTACACAAATATAAACATGACATAAACTATCTGTAAGAAGGAAAATAGGCTACATCTAAACCATTTTGACTATTTGAGTTGTAGTCACAGGGCAATGTCATTATCTAACAGTTTTGGTTGTGTAAAGAAATGGCTATTTTCATATATACAGAAAACATTGCATAAACAAACATGAGTACAACCAGTTTTCTGCAGCAAATTGTTGTATAAACACGTTTTAACTGAGGATCTTTAATAGTGTACATATGTGCAATTTTAAATTGACATTGATCACCGTGTCTGTATACAAAATAGACCAGGGTGTATTTGCTAATTTATTGCGAGGTACTGCAAAAACAAAAATGTCCCCCTCATGTCCCTTAGGGCGCTCCGTAGACTAAAGATAAAAGTAAAAAAATGAGCAGTTAGTTTCTCAAATCGGAAGCCAGCTTCCTATTACAAGTGGGAAATCATTTTCTCTTCATTTACACATTTAAACACAAAATAAACGTTTTCACCTGCAGGCGTTTCGCACCAGTGTGTGTGAGATACTGATTTGCTGATATACAACCCGTCAGGAGTGTTTAATTGTAGTTTATGGCTTCAACGTTCGCTATTTTGATCGCAGCCATGTTGGATGCTGATCTCTGGGAGTGTCATGAGCTCCCCGGCTTTCTGTGTCAAAATCCAATTAATAAAACGGACACAAATCCCCAAATTTAGCAGAGAAATTACGTTAGCATAGCTCATTTTAATACCTTCCTGGGAGAAATCCAGCAGATTGGACTGATCATCGAGCTCGTCCTCCGATTTCACGATGACTTCTTCAAACTCCGGGTCGGTTTCTTCAGCAGGAGTTAACTGCTGGTTGATAAACTTCCGTTGGGGCTGAACTGAAGACATCTTTACTGCAAATTCTCACATATTCAGAGAATAACCGTCTCCAACGTCGGCTAGCAATCCGTTTACATCCGCCGCCTCTTCTTCTACTTGTTTTTTTTTTTTTTCAGCGAGTGAACACTACCACCCCCTAGTGGATTAAAGCAGAATATTACAAAACATACGGATAAAATTTAATAAATTTCTTAATCTTTTCTTCATGTAGATTAAACCCCCCATAAAATTAGGAACCAATTTCGTAATTGATCCATATAAAACATTCAAATATATTATTGTTGTTTTTTTCCAACTAAAGATGGAAAACGGTATATTAAATCCAGCATAAAATAGTTAAATGTTGCACGAGTATTCTCTCAAAGACAAACGTTATAAGACAATTATTAAACATAGAAACATGAAGAAAAAACTTGAAAATTGGTTGGTAGAATTCACTCCATTTTTATTTTTAATGAATCAAAGCATTTTATCAGTACATTTATCATCTAGTGAACAAATTACCAGAAGTAACAAATCTTTCAAAGGGACACAGAGTGTCATTTTATTTCACAATCAAGCAACTGTTACCTTCCGTTGTTAGAAAATTGCTGTATGTATCAAATATGATTTATATAGATTTGATATCACAATTTAAAGTCTTGAAATTGGGTCTCTGTCTCTGAAACTCTGCCTTCAGGAAGTCGCCACATCACAACTCCTCTATTAACCCTTTAACAATGTTTTTACCAGTGTTTCACTGAGAAGTAGCTCATGTAATGACCTCAGCAGATGCACAGTTCCACCAGGTGTTTGCTAATAGCTGCTGGCTAGTCTGAAGGAACTGAGTGGCTGATTTCTCAAACATAAAAAAACAACAACAACAAAAACAAAAAACAATGCAACACTCTAGGTATGTTTTTCATGAGGGAAAAATGATCTAAAGCTCAGTTGATTTTATATAATACTGACCCTTTAAATGACACAAGTACTCAAAAAGAGGGCATGTACACAACGAAGATAATCCCTTAATTTAGGTTAGATTGTCAGTCTGTAATATTAGCAGGAAAAATCTCACTAATCTCCAACATTTTCAACATTGTTAGGTAAAAAAAATACATTTTCCAGGCCCTCAAGACCTGGATGAGAACTCTCAAGCAGAACAATTTACTTTTGTATTTGAAGGGAAGGAAGATTATGAAAAGTTCTGCTCAAATATTGTGGATTTCTGCTCTAATGCAGCTGATTCAAATGCTCCAGCTACCTCCTCAGCATGTCATAAAGTTCTGCAGAGGTTCTGCTAATGAACCATCATCTGATTCAGGTTGAACGAGGGGAAGAACTGAAACATTTGTCTGCCATGTGAACTTAGCCTTAGATATCTCAGCTTAAAACATTTTCTACATTTAAAGCACAAAGGTTTTTTTTTTTTTACTTTAGTTTGCCATGGGATTTGAAATGTTTTTTTCATCTGAACATTTAAATAACTTTTCTCAAGGAAACCTTTTTCAACATTTCAAACATAAGGAAGGTCTTTTATTTTTGTGATTTATTAGGACAAATAAATTTAATGCAAAACATTTTTGACAGGTCAAACCTTCTCACTTGAATGAGTTGCAATGAAATAAGTTAAACTGAATTTTTTTTACATTAAAAATGTTCAGCAAGACAAAGTGCTCTCATCTCATTTTCCGACTTGAATCAAAACAACCTGTAGATTTAAGATGTTTTCCACAGTTCCTCATGTGTTTCACCACGTTTCTTTTAAGGCTGAATGTCTTTTTACAAGCGTCACAAGGAAAAGGCCTCTCACCCGTGTGAGTTCTTGTGTGTTCAGTTAAAATAAATTTCAGCCTGAAACGTTTTCCACAGGTCATGCACAGGAAAGGCTTCTCGCCCGTGTGAATTCTCATGTGTTTGACAAGATCTCTTTTTAGACTGAATGTCTTTTTACAGGCGTCGCATGAAAAAGGCTTCTCACCTGTGTGAGCCTTTAAGTGACGAGTTAAATTCGATTTTTTGGTGAAACATTTGCCACAGGTTTTACATGAGAAAGGCCTCTCCCCTGTGTGAATTCTCATGTGTGCGATCAAGTTTTTATTTAGAGAAAAACTTTTATCACACATTTCACAAAAGTAAAGTTTCTTATCTCTATGAGTTTCTGTGCGCTCTTTTTCTGGTGAACTTCTTGTGTCATTATGGTGTCTAGTTTTCCAATGTATTTGCTCTTCATCCATCTTTACTCCTGAGACTTTGGGATTGCTTGTTTCCTGATCCTCATCCTCAGTTTCAGGAGGAAAGTTGAGTTGGTTCCAGTTTGCTTCTGGTTCAGAGTGAAATTCTTCATGAGTGGGAGTCGCCATTAAGTTTTCAGTCTCCTGCTTCAGCCCAAGCTGCTCTTCATCCTGACTAATGCAGACTTCCTTTTCTTCGTCCTTTATCTGAAAATGTTCCAGCTCACCCTGCTCCTCTTTCATTTGCAGAGATTCTGGTTCCTCTTCGTCAAAACTAGATTTCCTCCGCTGGTCGGCGAGCGCCTCCTCCTTCCAAACATGTTCCTGTTTGAGGTCTGAGAGGGCAAAAAGCAAAATAAAACACATCTTTAATGATTTTATTTATATGAAATAAAACACAGTTATCAAATTAACACACAGGATCCAGTCCTCGAGGACATCCTATGTTAAATAATAACAGAGCTGGGTAAAAAAATTACAATATAAGCATTTCATATCAGTCGATATCAATAATTCTCCATAATAATTTGTGTTTTTAAGATATTTACCTCCCACCTTGTTTAATATGGACACGTGAAAAGAATATTCAACGTTTCTTTGTACATAATTTTGACAATAGCCATGCAGGATAGCCACTAGGTGCCGCCAAAGCTCCTTAAAACTGGAGTCCGTCCGCCCAGGAGCGAGAGCTGGCCGGAGAATTAAGGCTCCAATTTATGAATGAATGTTTAAAATCTAAGATTTAACATGGAAAAAGGATGGGGAAATGACGAAACCTGTCCCGAATGACCAATAAGACTTTACGTCTTTATAAATATTGCTCTTTTCGATGGAAAATAATGCAAATTGGGAAACGTTTCAAAATGCTTTTATTTTGAAAGCGGACAGGAAACGAGAATACTGCATCCTATTAACTGTTCCCAATTTAAATAGTTAAACCGCAGTATGCATCTTTCGTCTTCAGTAAAACATTGTAATCGCAGGTGTTTCGTACCTTTTCGGTGTAAGATGACTTGAGGTGTCCGAGTGAAATCCAGCAGTCTGCGTTGATCATCCATCTCTTCCTCGGTCTTGATTATTCCTTTAAACTCTGAGAATGTTTCTTCAGCAGGAGTTAAATGCTCGTTGTTCGTCTTTCGTTGAAGCTGGACTGAAGACATTTTTACTGCAAACACTCACATATTCAGCCAACAGATGATCAGCCTCTTAAGGAATGACTTCAAGCAGAAGAGAAGCTAACGCTGCTAGCAACACATTCTTCTTCTTCTTTTATATAATGGCGGACTTCAAGGTGCATATCGCCACCTACTGTACAAGACTGTACAGCAACATTCTTCACGCCACCGAGGATGAACAGCAACGTCACTTTGATCGAAGATAATCAAATATTGCCAAAAAACTATTCTGAATCATTTTAAAGTAAATACGTTTCATTATAATTATGTTTAGATCAATTCTTTGTCTCCAACAGTGTTATATAAGATGATATATTGTCTCTTCACCTCCACAGTACTCACATTTTTGATGATTCTGACCTAAAACAGGAGAAGTTGGGTTTGATTTAAGTTCAGACAATGAGAAGAAACATGATTTTTTTAAATTTATTTTTTACATAGAGTAAACTCCTGGTTTCAACTTTTTCTTAAACCAGATTTTATTTCTCTCACATCTAGTAACAAAAACCATACAATAAATGGGGTTACAATTGCAGATAACATTGCTGGTACCCTAATATTTATAACCGGAAAGCTGAAATAAGTTGAGATGGACAAGAGAAATGATAAATAAAACTTTATTGAAAATGAATAAATGGAAACCAGACACTGATTTTGAATTGTGGATCAATAGAATCATTTAAAAAAACTAATTAATGAAACGGGTCAGGACAAAATTGGTGGTACTTGTAGCTTAACTCTGCTGTCATTTTCTGGAAGTATTGGTGAAAATTAAAAACAAAAATGTTTAATGTTGCTTTCTTCTTTAATTTCATTGTTTTAAATCAATGTAGGCATTAAGAAAGCAGTTGATTTCATAAATTTTTACATACATTTTTACTATTGTATCTAAGCTGTGCAATCTTAATTCTGTCATCTGACAAAGATGATTTATTTTGAAAAGCAGTCTTTTAATCTATAATAACTTACAAACTAAAGGGAATAAGTTCTTCAGACTGAGGATTTTTGGTTCTACAGTGTTTTTCCTGTCGCTTTTGTGCATTTCATACGTTAACATTAACACAACAGCTACTGCATTTCTTAAAGTACAAAACTGCAAAACACAGCTGATAACCTGCAGGAGTGAGCCACTTGCTAACAATAGCTTCTTCCTCAAAAGCAAGTATTCATATCAATGAAAGTGCCAATGTCATCAAAATGAAAAGTCCTGACAGCATTGTTCATGAACAAGATTTTCATGTGTTCGTTATGACAGTTAGCTTGGTGATAAAACACAGCTTGGTGATAGAATCTGGTTGAGACAGCATGTGAAAACTGCACAGAAACAAGTATTGCATTAACAGGACACTGTGCCATGAGTCGTACTTCTGTATTATTCATTCAATTATTATCCTTTATACTTGGTTTCATTTTAATCCCACCTAAAATCTGTTGTCTTTGACTATTTTCTACCACCAAATAAAGAGAAACATTCTGACAAATACAGAATTTTACATTTGTGCCTCATGCCAAGTGTCGATCCGTTTTTCTCATAACTTTATCCACACGTCACACAATGAAAAGGCTTCTCATTTGTGAGTTAGCAAATGAGCTTTAAAGCTATTATGGTGGATGAATGCTCTTCCACAGGTCTTGCACAAAAAGGGTTTCTCACCTGTGTGGATTCTCGTGTGTCTTTTCAAAGCATCCTTTCTTTTAAAAGATTTTTCACAGATATCGCAGGGAAAAGGCCTGTCGTCTGTGTGATGCGTCATGTGATAAGCCAAATGCTCTTTTTGAATGAAGCCTTTGCCACAAATGGTACAAGAGAACGGCTTCTCACTAGTGTGAATTCTGACGTGTCTCTCAAAATTAGACTTGGTTGTGAAAGTTTTTCCGCAGAAAGAACAAAGCTTCCCATCTGTATGAGTTTTCATGTGAACTGTGAAATGTACTTTTTCTTTGTAACTTTTTCCACATGTTCTGCACTGAAACGGCGTCTCCTTTGTGTGAGACATCAGGTGAGTTCTTAAGCTATTGCTTTCTTGGAAAGCTTTTCCACAGATCCCACACAAAAAGGGATTCTCAACTGTATTGTCGCTCAATGGATCTTTTGATGTGTACGTTTGTTCACGGGTATTCCAGGGAAAAGGCCTTTCATTTTTGTGGCGTCTCATGTGATAATTCATAGTATAATTTCGACTAAAACCTTTGCCACAAATGGCACAAGAAAATCGCTTCACACCTGTGTGAGTTCTGACATGAGAGTCCAGAACAACTTTTGTAGTGAAGCTGTTTCTACAGAGCCAACATTTGAATGGTCTCTCGCCTGAATGAATCCTCATGTGATCTGTTAAATCTCTTTTCTTAAAGAAACTTTTTCCACATGTCCGACATGGAAAACGTTTCTCACCTGTGTGACTTTTCAAGTCTTCAGTCAAATTTTTCTTTGGCATAAAGGAATCTTTTTTAAAGTTTTGAGAGACAGCTTGGTTACTGATTGGTTCTGCTTGAATGTGGTTCTTTTCTTCATAATTAGGAGTCAACCTTAATGAATCTTCATTCTCCTGCCTCAGATCAAGATGCTCTTTATGTTCACTTATGCAGAGCTCCGATGGTTCCTCTTTAGTGCATGGATGATCTGGCTCTTGCTGCTCTTCTTTCAGCTGCAGAGGTTCTGGTTCCTCCTGGTCCAAACTGGGATCCGTCTCATGTTTACAGAGCTGCTGGTTAGAGCAAACTTCCTCTTTCCAAACACGATCCAGCAGGTGGTCTGAAAACATATGAAATGGCCTGAAACATCAAAATCTCAGTCGGGGAACAATCTAGTCTATGACTAAAGAGTCTAAATTTTGTAGTTTAACAATTAGAGCAGATTGGAGATGCTAAAAGCAATAAAAAGAAAATTATGCACAACGCTGACCATCCTCTCCATTAGACAGTCTTGGGAAAACAGAGGATTTTCAAATTCTCTGTAATACAGACCGCTACAAGATATCTTTAATGCCAACAGTCATTGTAATCTACAATAACTCTCAAGAATTAGGATCATTAGGAGTTACAACCTTTATTCTCCCTTTGGGCTCAATAAAGTATTTTTGAACTTGAAAACAATCGGTGGAATCGCCCTTTAGTCTGTTTCTAAAGTGGAAGCCACAACCGGAAGAAAACTTTAGCTTCGTTGCCTGCATAATCTCCGCTAATAAATCTCCCAAATGAACGCTTTAGATCCACAATCTGCATCCTGTATCATCGGTAAAAAGTTACCATCGCGGGTGTTTCATACCTATTCGATATAAGATGATCTGAGGTGTCCGGGTAAAAACCAGCATCTGATCATCCATTTCTTCCTTAAACCTGGAGATTTATTTAAACTCTGTGAATGTTTCTTCAGCAGGAGCTCGTTTAAAACCTCGTGTTGAATCCGGACTGAAGATATTTTTACTGCAAACACTCACATGTTCAGCTCACAGACTATCCGACTCTCTGGGATGGCTTCAAGCAGAACGAAAGAAAGCTAAAGCTGCTAGCATCACATTTAGCTTCCTTCTTTTGGTGTTTATTGACGGTTAGCAAACAACGAATTAGGTCATTATCGCCGCCAACTGGTCTGGAGGATGGACTGCAGCGTCACTTTAGTATAAATTTAGCACATGCCTTTGTCTAAGATAATATTCCCCGTCTAAGTCGGGAAATTTAAATTTTGTAGCATTATTTTAGTGTGATGAATGAAGGAAAATATGTTGTTTACTTAGGCAGCTCATAAGGCACTTTTTATTGTTAGCAATAACACACACCACCGTCTGTTGCACTTTGAGGTTCATTTGCCTTTATTGCAGTTCCAATTTTCTTTTGTAAGAAAGTAAAAACGGTGTAAACTGAAAACTAAAAGGGAAAAAATTATTTTTTGAAATTCACATAACTTGAGGAAACATTTCATATGCTGTGTTTGAAATATTTTAAGTTTATATAATCTGTTTGGTTCAGTCACAAACTGAAGACAGTGGAAAAGAAGCAGAAAATGTAGTAAAAAAAAGATCAGAAAAGAGCACTATTAACCTAGATTCACATATTGAATTTAAAATGGCAACAATAAAATTGATTGATTGATTTACAAAGAACTAAACTTCAAAAAAGGAGAAAAGTTGAACTTCTAGTGTAAGATTTCTTTTAAAAAATTTCTTAATTCAACTCCATTTTAATCAATTTCAACCATAAATCAAATGACAGGCAGCTTTAATCTTGATAAACTCATTGAAAAGCATTTTCAGTGGTTTTAGGACTGAGCTGACTTTAGTGTCCCAATATTTAAATATTTTACACAATATTACGCTTTTTATTTGTAAGTTGCACATAAACTGTGATTTTATTCCTATTAAATGGAAAAATCTTGAGTTTGGGAATGGCCTCAAAAAGGCATCAGGAGTCGAGATCACAAAAGAGAAAAAGAAGAAAGAAATTGGAATAAACTCCAGATTTATTTTACTAACAAAAGAAACATAGCAAAACATTTTACATCCAGTAATGAGAAATACTAAACTCCCTTTAAGAAATCAAAAACATAAAAAGTGACAAATACAAAATGATTTGCAGTGAACAGCAGAGCTAAAGTCTATTAATCTAAAATAATGTCCAACATAATGTGACAAAGTTCTACAGATCTTGAGGAATTTTGGCTTCACAGTTTTTCCTTCAGTGGCTTTAAAACATTTCTCACATTAATATTTGCACAGCAGCCAAATTAATTTCTCAAAGCAATGAATGCAAACCTCAAAACCTCATTAATCAACAAAAGCATGTTATTTGCTCTAAATCTGTGAATGGAAGCGTCATCATAATGAAACCTCATGTCTATAAACATGTTTTCATTAACAGTTCACAGGTGACAGTATTTTCTTTTCTTTATAGCTACTAGAAATCTACATCTACAATAATAAGTGAGATAAATAACCATCAAACACTGAATATGTATTTTTGACTTTTTTGCAGTTCTAAATCGTTTACAGTGTTGAGCAAAACAAAAGTACCAACTCGTTCACAACAGACATAAAATACACCAGCTGTGCACCAGAATCACCTGAGGAAAAAATGTTCAATTTGGGAAACATTTTCAGAAATAGATAAATTCTTGACATCTAATTCAACATTTTTGTTTGTAATGACTCAATCAATGAAATTACTGTAATTTGCACAGTTTGTTCAGCATTTATTTTTAAGAATTTATTTATTGTACATTTTGGCTGCAAATTATCAGACAATTAACACATATGCAAAAGACGCTGTGACTTTTAGAAGTAATAAACTACCACTGTGATGAGACTAAATGTGTGATTGAAGTAACATTTATGAGAATAAAGTGACCCGCCTCAAAGACCGAAGAGGCTTAATTTTATAGTGATTTGACCAAATTATTTTCACACAAAGGGAAAAAAAAACAAGATTAAACATCAAGACTATAGTATTATAATCTAAGTCCAAGCAAAAACAATTAAAAACATCAGGTTATAAACCACACAGTGTCACTTTGTGAATACCCTGTGAACTAATTTTAAGGTTTAATTAAAGAAATGAACAAGTTGCATTGTTAAAACACAAATTTAATTAAAAACAAAATGTTACTAGCTTCAACAATGGTAAATGTCTGACTAGATAGTTTTCCTATTAGATCTTAGTTCTTCAGCTCAGTGGTTCTCCTAACACACATCTGCCAAACTTAACCAGTAAGATTTCTGACAAAAAAAATAAAATATGGCCTTTCACATGCTACTGTAACTGTTACTTAAGGCTCCTCTGGTTTTTTGGCTATTCTAGCGAAGTCTTCCACAGGACAGACATTTGAAAAGATTCTCACTTATGTGGGTTTTCATGTGAAATGTCAATTCTGTTTTTCTCATATAACTTTTTCCACATATCAAACATGGAAAATGGTTTTCATTTGTGTGAGCTGCAAAGTGAGATTTCGGTGAACTGCAATCACTGAATGCCTTTCCACAGATCGCACACAAATAGGGCTCTTCACCTGTATGACTTCTATTGCGAGTCATTAATTTTTGTTTTTTTATTAAACTTTTTTCCACAAGTAACGCATTGAAAGGGTTTCACGCTTGTGTGAACTCTCATGTGGCTACTCAATGTATGTTTTGATCTGAACTGTTTTCCACAGGTACTACAGGGAAAGGGCCTTTCATCTGTGTGACACATCATGTGGCGAGACAAATTAATTTTTTGAATAAAGCTTTTTCCACAAATCTCACAAGAAAAATCCCTCTCACCTGTATGAATTTTGCTGTGCACATAAAAGCCAGATTTACGATTGAAGCTTTTTCCACAGGACAGACATTTAAAAGGCTTCTCACCGGTGTGAATTCTCATGTGATCTATCAACATAAATTTTCGATTGAAACTTTTTCCACAGGTCTTGCACGAAAACGGCTTCTCACCTGTGTGAATTCTCATGTGAACTGCTAAATCTATCTTTTTAAGAAAACCTTTTCCACATGTCGCACAGAGAAAAGGCCTCTCCCCTGTGTGAACCTTCATGTGTACATTTAATGCATCTTTTCTAATGTACGTTCTTTCACAGGCGTTACAGGCAAAAGGCCTCTTCCCTGTGTGAATATTCATGTGCATAGTTAATGAATTTTTTCTTTTGAAGGTTTTTTCACAGGTATTACAGGCAAAAGGTTTCTCACCTGTGTGAGTTTTCAAGTGAGATGTCAAGTCTGATTTTTTTGCATGACTCTTTCCACATGTCATACATAGAAACGGCCTCTTCCCTCTGTGAACTTTCCTCTGTATATTTGAGTTTTTATGATGGTTTCCTTTTTCATCCTGGTTCTCAGTTTCATTAAAGTCCTGAGAGATGATTTGGTTGCTGACTGGTTCTGGTTTAATGTGGTTCTTTTCTTCATGAGTTGGACTCACTGATGATGTATCTTCATTCTCCTGCTTCAGTTCAAGCTGCTCTTCATTCTCACCTTTGGAAAGCTCTAATGGTTCCTCCTTAATCCAGGGACATTCTGGCTCTTGCTCCTCCTCTTTCATCTGCAGATGTTCTGGTTCCTCCTGGTCCAAACTGGAATCCCTTTCCTGTTTACAGAGCTGCTGGTGTGAGAAAGCCTCTTCTTTCCAAACATGACCCAGTTCGTGGTCTGAAAACCCAAACAAACCCAAGAAAAAGACTTTCTATAACATAACATAAAATGCAAAAAAGACAAAGCGTTGTGAATAGTCAGCGGACGAATCGTAGGTAAAAAAAAAAAAAAAAAAAAAAAACATTTACTATTAGAATTAGACCATTTCCATAAATAAAAATATCTAGGAAAAGTTTGTTTTGAATGCTTAAAGCAATCTGGGCAAACGCATGCCAAATTAATTCTACTGCCGCTATGTCGGGGGAAATTTTGTGGAAGAACATTGTTTTCATAATCTCCAAAAGAACATGTTTTCAGACTGGCAGAGCTGAATCTGGCAGGTAGTCAAAGAGATAAAATTAATTCTTGGCTTAGAAATTTTCAAATTACATATTTATGTAATTTACCAAATGAACTCAACTGTCAGGATAAGTACAGGATTATTCAGGAGTAATAGAATTACATTTTAAAAAGTTAAGAGTAAGCTGTTTTTGTAAGATCAGGAGGGTTTTGTCAGCACTCAGGAGAATCAGGGTCTAAAACTATGACCCAGGGAAATGGAAATTAAAATTAAATCATTTTCTATAACTTTTACTTTAATGTAATTAGGATATTTGTATAAACTCTTCTATTTAACCTGTGATGCATGTATTCAGACATGCCTTATCCATGGAATAATCAGGTTTGAAGAGTTTAAAACGTTTTGCTGGATCAGTTTGCAGTTTGATCCAGATGTAAAAACAGCAGCAATAAGGAAATTTGTTGAACCCTTTCAAGTAAAAAAAAAAAAAGTTTCGCAAATCACAAGCTAGATTTTAAATGTCAATTAGTCGAGAACAACTCAATCCAATGTTCAAGAGTTTAAGTCTCGTCGTTGTCAAATTAGAGCAGATTAAAGATGCTCAGGGTCTTTTAGTCGTTGTTCGCACCGGAAGCTACAACCAGAAGTTGACTTTCGTTGCCTAATCTCCGCTAATAAATCTTCCTAAATGATCGCTTTAACTCAGAAATCCAAAACCTGCACCTCCAGTAAAGCTTTATCATAGCTGCTGTTTCCTACCTATTCGGTGTAAGATGATCTGAGGATTTCGGGAGAAATCCAGCAGTCTGCGCTGATCATCCGTCTCTTCCTCCTTCACGATGATTTCTTTAAACTCTGTCGGTTCTTCAGCAGGAGTTAACTGCTCGTTGATCAACTCTCCTTGCAGCTGGACTGAAGACATTTTAATGCAAACACTCACATATTCTGCCAACAGTTGATCAAACTCCTTAGAATTGTTCAAAGCAGAAAGGAAGGAAAGCTAAAGCTGCTAGCATCACGTTGACTTCTTCTTCTTCTTCTTCTTCTTCTTCTTCTTCTTCTCGTTGTTGATTTTTATTGGCAAGAAATGTTACGGTTGCATTACCGCCACCTACTGGTATGGAGTGTGGCTCAAATTAAATGTTTATTTTTTCTAATTTCCTCCAACATTAATCTCCTTTCTATCTCATATCCAATTAAAATAATATGTTATATTGTTTCATTTCCTTACAATATTGCCAATTTCCTGTGTTATGTTGTTTATCCTGAATGAGTTGCTAAGTGTAGTATGTCAAAATCTTAGCAGTCATAGTTTCTTCTCTCTTCTGTTCTTCCTTCCTCATCCCATTTCCAATACATGTTTTTGAATCCTATAATACCATCTTCCTTTGCTATCTTCATCCCATTCTGCCAGCCACATTTTCCTAAAATTTTGATTAATTATACTTTTTATCACGTTTTTGGTTGTTCTCTTCGATTAGATTTTTTGGCGGTTGGCAAACAGCGCCACCAACTGGTCTGGAGGATAGCAGAACTTTTAAAAAAAAGAACCTTATTTGAATTTTAGACTTGTTAAGATTTAATGGCTTCTACATGTGTTAAAAGCGAAAGATGCACTTTTGGGGTACGATCCTATCTTTCAGGGTTACTATAACTTAATTCCCAAAAAGAGGATACTTAGCACATTCCTAAAAAAATTCCAGGCATGCTCCGTTTATTTTTTTTTTAAAAAAATGCTTTTATTCTTAACACATTTTACAGACTCCACTTCTGTTTCTTACAGATGTCACTTAACTTTCTAAAACTTTTTTTTATATACTTTTTTACTCAAGAAACCATCTGGTGGAAAGATTTCAACTAATGCAACCAAATTTTACACAAGTAGATCAAACTTGTTTGTAGACTTGATTGGTCAAAGATTCTCAGTTCTGTCAGAATCTTTGTGTCCCTTTGCATCCTGACTCTACACTGGACTTTTCCATTTGTCTCTGGGAAATGCAATAACAGAAAAAGACAATCGAGTTTTCCTAAACAAACCAGAATATTATCAGCTGGAAGCAGTATACTCAACTCCTACTACATGCACTACAAGAGGCATAACTTAGAAGTTGGACAAGTAACTTAAAAAACATCAATTCAACATATTCAGTTGTTAAAACTTTACAAAAGTGCTTTAAACATTCAAGTGTAACAGCTTCATATATATATATATATATATATAT